CTTCCCCCACCACCTCCTCCTCCTCCTCCTCCTCCTCCTCCTCCTGAATACACTCAAGCCCGGCTCCCTGCATCAGAAGCTCGTGCATATACTTCACCCTCCGCTGAAGGGTATGACAACGATGATTTCCAAGACGGCCAACCCCGTCATACCCTCCGCCCATCCCGTCCTCCCATGCATCCTGCCAACCCTCCTTCCACTTCCCGCCGGTACCAGGGACCAGACCAGGCCCATTTGGATTTATTGCAATAGGTAACCGGCAAGCCTATGTCAGCAACCCCTGCCATGGCAGTGTCTGCGGGGGATGGGGGAGGCCCTTTAGCTACTGTAGTTCTCCCTGTGGAGGGCCACCCCACCACTTTCTTAGTTGACACAGGTGCAGCCCGTAGTGTCCTTAGGGAACAAGACCTGCCAGACCCTTCCTTCTTATCTGACACTGATGTTTCCTGCGTTGGGGTAGATGGTACACCACGCAGCAACCCCCTTACTAGGTGCCGATGTTCTCTCTCGGCTCCAGGCCTCCATTACCTTCACTGCAGACGGGCAGATTGAATTGACCACCCCCTTATCACAAAAGGATACCTCTGTCCTCTGTTCACTCCCCATTTTGTTAAACCTAACTGACAATACAGGGGATGCACGGGTCCCACAAACCCCCAGTGCTCTGGATAGTATCCCTCAAGAACTTTGGTCCACTGGCCCGGATGATATTGGGCGCTTACATGTGCCCCCAGTCTTAGTCCAGCTCCTGCCTGGGGCACTGCCTCCTCGCAGGCCACAGTACCCTCTGAAGCCTGCACAAGCTGAAGCCATTACCAGACAAGTTGAAAGTCTCCTTGTGTGACGAAGTGCCCTTCGCCACTTGTGCCTGGAGAGGACTGCTTGCCCGCCTCTTGCCCTGTGACTATGGCCCCTGGGATGTATTGCCCTTTAAAGACATGATTTGGGCATAATGGATTTGTGTTGTGCTGTCGCTGGCCCTTTAAGAACCATCTGGAGACATACTGTGGAGTTACTGGGTGGCCACCATTTCCTGTATCAGAAGCACATGGTGAGAACAATGGATGGCGGCCATTTTAACTCACAGACACTGTGTGGACTTTTCAACACGGTGCCATCTCGCCAGTATTTGTTGCACAGAGACATCGTGTGGTGGTTTTGGACTATACAGCAGGGGACACATTATACAGTGATTGTTTTTTATTTAGCCTGTATATGTTCTGCAGAATCTGCATTAAACTGTATTTTCCAAAGTACTGAACGGATCTGGGTGAATTTTGGATATGTGGTTCACCCAGATCCCCCAGTTCCAAGGATATACTTTTTATGGGGTTATTGCATGTTTTGGGGTCCCTGTGTGTTTTATGAAACTGTATAATATCTGGCCAGCAGATAATTGAGCTTTGTGTATTGTAGAAACTCAATTATCTAGCCTGGCCCAGAGGAGGAGTTTTGTGTTGCATAAATTGTGAGTTCTGCGTGCCAGTAAATTAGTCTTGTTCCAGCATTAAGCCTTGGCTCATGTTTGGGGGAAGGGATACCGACACTCTGGGGATTGCTATAATCACTTACTCCCCAGAGGAAGCTCTTGCAATAGCTTGATTTGTTCCTGTTCCTGCTCTCTGGGGAAAGAGAGGTTCACCCACTGGAAGCTGGATCCTGGCCTTGGGTCCAGGGTGGGTGGAAACAGCAGAGACCCCGGCGCAGTTGCATCGCTGGAAGTGGGGTCTGAAGTGCTGATGGTGTCGGTGGGAGTGCTTGGAGTCCTCAGCGAGCACTAGGAGCATCGATTGGCGGAGGTACTCCGTCGGAGTGCCAGCGTTCCGTCACACCTTGCCAAAGGTGCCCTCATCAAGTGTACATCTCCATGCAATACTCCACTTTTTCCTGTTAAAAAGAGAACTGTTAAAGGTCAGCCTGACCAGTACCGCATGGTGCAGGATCTCCGTGCTGTGAATGATGTAACCATAAAAGACACTGCAATTGTTCCTAACCCCCACACCCTCTTATCCCAAGTCCCATCAACTTCAACAATATTCACCGTGGTGGATCTAGCTAATGCCTTCTTCAGTGTCCCCCTTGACCCTTCCTGTCGCTTTCTCTTTGCCTTCACCCATGAAGGACAGCAATACACCTGGACTGTTATGCCTCAGGGGGCTCAGAATTCCCCCACACAGTTTGCTCACGCCATGTCCCTGGTGCTGGATCCCTGGCAGAAGTCTCATTTGGATGTTGTCCTGCTTCAATATGTTGATGACCTCCTTCTCTGTGCTCCTGATTTGCTCATTGCAGAGCGTGATTCAGAAGATCTCCTATGTTTCCTTGCTGCAGCTGGTTGCAAAGCCTCAAAATCCAAGTTACAATGGTGCCGGCCCTCTGTGGTCTTCTTGGGACATTGCCTTTCCCATGGTACCAAACATTTAACCTCTCAACGTGTACAAGCCATTCTGCATCTTCCATTACCTGCAAATCACCAGACTCTCCATGCTTTTCTGGGTCTTATCACGTACTGCAGGTCCTGGATACCTGAAGCATCAAAGCTCATGCAGCCACTCTATGATGCCCTCAGGAGTGAGCCCTTTCATCTCACAGAAGAAACTATCATCTGTTTCCACACTCTGAAAAGAGCTATTGCTTCTGCACCTGCCTTGGGCCTACCCAACTACCAACTTCCCTTCAATCTGTTTGTCTCTGAAAAATCAGGACATGCTTCCGGAGTTCTTACCCAGAAACATGGATCAAGACAACGCCCTATTGGCTATTTTTCCTGCATGCTTGACCCTGTTGCAAGGGGTAGCCCCTCTTGCCTCCGAGCGGTGTTTGCCGCCAGCGCTCTCCTGGACAAGACCAATGACTTTGTTCTTGGCCATCACATCACAGTGTTGGCCCCTCACGACATTACTGCAATCCTGCAGCAAGTTCGACCTAAACACCTTTCTTCCCAACGTCACCTTCGCCTGCAGACCTCCTTACTCCTACCTGATAATGTGAAACTCCAGAGGTGCCTTTCCCTGAACCCAGCCACTCTTCTGCCACTTCCCAAGGGGGGAATTGTGCATCACTGGTACAGCCTGGATATCAATCCAGAGGTTCGAGCAGATTTACAGTTGCCTGTATTCACACCCCCACATGATGAACAATCAGAGGCCCTACTCCACTGTGTCTTGTGGTTTAGGGACGTACCAAGCCCTGATGTGGACTATGAGGAAGAACTATTTCAGCTCAAAGAAATTCAAATTACCCTGACTGACTTATTTTGGGACTCCACAGGTACCATGCTCATTTTGGTTCACCTTCCAGATAATGTAGCACACCTCTACCACCATTGGGAAACAGCTATCCCACACATATCTCTCACCAGATCCCACGACACCTCATGGGAGAATCTAGGCCCGATGGCCAGAACCTGGAACCAAATGACTCAAGAACAACTGACTTCTACGGGGATAAATAAAAAGACCATTAACTAATGCACAACAGGATACTCCAGGTACCACACAGAGGCCTGTGAGGACCCACCCACCATAGACTGCAACCTCATTGATATCCCCCATGACTGTTTTGAACAAATGAAAATGGAAACTACACACCTACCAACTGTTTATGAAGCTGCATTACTCAACCCGGATCAAACACTATTTGTGGATGGCTCAAGGTTTGCTGATGAACAAGGACAATATCACACTGGATATGCAGTCACCACAGGATGTCAAATATTACAAGCAGCTGCCCTACAACCAACTAAGTCTGCCCAAGAGGCCGAGTTAACAGCCTTGACTGTGGCCTGCAAACTGTCCGAAGGTCTACGCGTCAACATTTATACGGACTCAAGATATGGCCTGGGAGTGGCACACGATTTTGGCTTAATTTGGAAGACCAGAGGATTTCTTACAGCCACCGGTACCCCAGTAAAACATGAAGCAGCCATTGCAGAACTGATGGACGCATTGGAACTTCCAGCAGAAGTGGCAGTATTGAAAGTAAAAGCTCATGGAAGATTAGACACAGAAGAAGCACGTGGCAACAACTTAGCTGATCAGGCAGCCAAAGAGGCAGCACGACAAGGATGGGAAGTGGACAGAAGAGTGGCCACAGATACATTACCCATTTACACTATGCAGACATTGCCTACAGATCTCAGGCTGCTGAAGGAACAACAAGCTGCTGCCACTCCCCAGGAGAAACAAAGTTGGAAGAACAAAGGAGCAATACTCCGTGATGAAGTTTACACCATTAATCTCAAGTTCTGCCTACCTAGAAGTATGTACCCAGCGGTGGTCCAATGGGCCCATGGGCCAGCCCACCTGTCAAAGCTCCTGATGAACTCACTGATTGACAAGTATTTTGAAGCACCAGGCATCACTACCTTAACACAGAATTACTGCAAATCTTGTACCATATGTGCTAAATGCAATCCTGGAAAAGTCATAAAGACTGCACCTAATCATCTAGCCAAGCCACAATACCCCTTCCAAAGGATTCAGATTGACCACATTCAGATGCCAAAGAGCGGACGTTATGAATATGCATTGGTTATAGTGGACATGTTTTCAGGATGGCCAGAGGCCTTCCCAGTGACTAATCTCACCGCGAGGACTACAGCCAAGTACCTTTTGACAGAAATTGTTTGCCGCTACGGGGTTCCAGAAGTGATTGAAAGTGACCAAGGGACCTCCTTCACTGCCTCGCTAATACGGGAAGTCTGGTCAGCACTGGGGGTGACCCTCGCATTCCATACACCATATCACCCACAGAGTAGTGGTAAGGTAGAACGCATGAATGGCACTTTGAAAGCCAGAATGCTCAAAATGTCACAAGAAACTAACATGCCCTGGCCCGAGAGTCTCCCACTAGCGTTATTCAGTGTAAGGTACACTCCCAGAGGAAAATACAGTTTGTCACCTTATGAGATTTTGTTTGGTACAGCACCCAGGTTAGGTTGCTACTTTCCCCAACAGCTTCAGATTCAGTCAGACGCTATGGTAGACTATGTGACTGCCCTTTCACATGCCTTGACCAAGATACATGCCCAAGTGTTTTCTTCTATTCCAGATCCTGAGTCGAATACAGGTACACACAAGCTGCTTCCGGGTGATTGGGTTATGGTTAAGAAGTTCCTCAGAAAACACACCCTAGAACCGAGATTTGATGGTCCTTATCAAGTGCTCCTGATTACAGCAACGTCAGTTAAACTAGCTGGGAAAAGTTCCTGGATACACGCTTCACATTGCAAAAAAGTGCCTGCTCCAGAAGAAGCTGATCCTGTTGAAACATGAATTTATTATGTGTCTTGTGTTTTCTTATGTTGTTGCACTTTGCCTGGGCCCAACAAGTGGCCATAACCAAAGATAATCATGTTTACACTTTCTGGTACAATTCTTCTAATACTGATGTAGCCACATACACCTTTGATTACTGTGACATAGTTACCTGTACATTCCCACAGACACAACATGCAGCCATATTCAAAGACATACCTAACAAAAAGGACCCATACATTTGTGTGACTGGAGGAGCTTGGGGACACCATTGTAGTTCATGGAAAGCTGCCGGGTGGAATACAGGTAGACCATGGGGCTACAGACCTCAGGTTGCACTGGACAGACTTGACAAAGACGGGAAGCCCCTACTTTCTAGAATGACTCTGAGTAAACCCACAGGGTCAACTCCCATTAAACTTACCCTGAATATAGAACACCCTAGTCCAAGGGACGCGGGGGAATATGTGATGGGGATGTACTGGAAGGGAGGTGGCTCACATAATGCACTGGGGACATTTTACCTGCAAGACATGCTCACCTCCCCAGACTGGGTAGGGACCACTCACATGATTGTTAACCCATTAAAACCACATATTAAGACCCTACATGACATGGTAGCTATAGCCAACCCCACCTTTGAAGACACTATGGCAGTGGAGACTGGTTTTTCAGACACTAATTTGTGGCTAGAATGGATGAGGTATAATGCCAACTCACACAATAAGACTAATTGCTACGTGTGTGGAGGAGCCAGGCCCCATCTGGGCACAGTTCCTCTGAACTTACCTCCTGAAGTAGAATCATGTGTTCTGAGTCTTTACACACAGTCCATCACCAACTCCTCAACATGTGAATCATGGAAGAGAATTTACCCGATCACTCATGGACATGTAAAACCACCTGATGGAGTCACCATCTACCCAGGTAATTACACATGTTACACAATATCTAAGAACACCGGTTTGTATCTGGGCAAATTCCCATCAGGATACTGCCCAACCTACCATAATCCACCCATATCACTACTAATGAACCACACAAAGACAATCGGTGATATCTACTGGTTATGTGGTGATAAACAATTGAGGTCCCAATTAACTGGGCAATGGTGGGGGGAGTGTGCCCTAACTAAAGTCATAATGCCTATCCATATCATTCCAGATGGTAACCATAACACGTTAAACCTCACACATGTACACTCTAGAACCAAACGAGAGACTCCTATCCGAGGGAGCTTCGACCCCCATGAGTATATTGATGCCATAGGTGTGCCAAGGGGGGTGCCTAACGAATTCAAAGCAAGAGATGAAGTGGCTGCAGGATTTGAATCCCTAATTCCAATGATAACTGCTAACAAAAATGTCAATTGGATTAACTACATTTACTATAATCAACAGCGCTTTGTCAACTACACCAGGGATGCCCTACAGGGCCTGGCAGAGCAGTTACAAGCCACTACCCAAATGACATTCCAGAACAGAATGGCCCTAGACATGATATTAGCTGAGAAAGGGGGCGTATGTAAAATCCTCCCTGAGACCATGACATGCTGCACATACATTCCAGACAACACTGGACCCAATGGTAAGGTGACTATGGCCATAGAAAAGTTAGATAGTCTTGCAGACGAGCTAAAGAAAAATTCAGGAGTCACTGACACTTGGGACAGATGGTTTGGATGGATGAATGGTTGGCAAAGACCCTCTTCCAGGTGGGGACAGCTGTTCTCATAATGATCGTCATTTTCTTATTTTTGACCTGTTGCATATTCCCCTGCATACAGAAGTACTTACAGAAAGCGGTAGACAAGACTATAGATGACGTGACCCCTACTTTCATACACCAAGACATCACAGACCTCGAAGATGATACTTCACATACACCCCTTCAATCACATCAGTTCAAATAAACAACTGCTTTCCTGTAGGGACAGTATAGGGAAAGCGTCTGTCTTGGCAGGCGAGTCTCACGTGTGGAGATGTGGTGGACTAGCCACCGCGGGTTACCCACGGAGTGAAGTGTTCGATGTTTGTTAAGACAGATGAGCTGCAGGCAGCTAGGGACATATTAGGGACAGTAGCAGTTGTTATGGTAAATAGCCATTTTAGGGGGGACTGTTGTGGAAATAAGGTCTACACATATTTCCTAGTTAGTGAAAAATGTCTATTTACTCATTTCACGATATATATATATATATTTCCTGGCTAATCATGGCAGCATTTAACATATGGGTTTAGCTCCTCCCTCCAACCCTCAGGACAGGAAACACAATCAATTAAACAATTAAGCCTACCTTCCCCTAGTATATTAGGTACCCCAGTATCCCCCATACCTCAGTCTTTTCCTGTCCTCCTAGCCCTAGGACAGTTTAAATATTTTTTTTTTTCTTTTTCTTTTTTCAGTTTCTTCTGAATTATTTTTTATTTTTTGCTCACCTGACCATGTTTTATATGGTCTTGTCCCTTTGGAGGTCAGCCTCCCTCCTCAGGAAGCCCAGGCACATGTAGCCCAATCTCCATGGAGTTGGGAACCCCTGGGAGCCTGGGTGGTTAGTTCCACAGGCTATGGGAATCCTCTGCCGTCCAGTGTGTGCTGCAGACCTCGATCAGACGATCAGCATAACGGTAAGACGCCCGCGCATGCGCATTGCATCCGACCGGACCCAGAGTGAAGTTTGCCCCTTTCCAAAATGGCGGTTTAGCGATCTCGCGACCGAAGTGCGCATGCGCGATCATTTAAAGGTACAGAGCAGGAAATTTGAAATGGCGGTATTTAGCTTAAAAAACGCTCGTTTCCGTTCCCTTTAAAGATACAGTGCTCTAGTAGACTGTTCTTAAAGCTCTGCAGGTAAGAGAATTACTTATATTTTAAAATCAGCATAATATTGGGCTGGGAATATTTTTCTTATTATTTTAACATTCTTAGCCCTACAGTCAGTATGGATCCTTCATCCCCTTCTGCAAGATCAACGAGATCTGCTATAGGTCATAGGTGAGCAATATTTTTTTTGGTTTCTTCACGTTACTAAAAAGAGTGCACAGAGGGTACAGTCTTATGACTTCTGTATCTTACAGCCCTCGTGACCGGTCCTGTCCCAGATCCCCATCGAGGAGAAGGGAGAAGCCGGCAGCCTGCCCTGGATGTGGAGCAAGGCCTTTGGATAACTGCAGGCTCTGCAGAAAATGCTTAAACATGGCCGCAGGAGAATCTGATCGCCAGAGGTCACCGCAAGCCTCTACCTCCTCAGCCAAGGATATTGCTTATTGGATTAAGCAGGCAGTGGTTGAAGGAATTGCTGAATCCCACAAGATTAAGAGATCAAGAGGGGAAAACTTCAGCATGGATTCAGATCAGTCTGACGATGAATACAGACAAACTTCATCTTACCTGGATTTGGAGCCAATCTCGTCCAGTGAAGAGGAGTATATGGAACAACCTTGCTCCTTGGACTCCAAAGCTATGGAGCATTTGATTATGGCTGTTAGAAGAACATTGGATTTGACGGAAGAAACCAGAGAATGTTCAGCTTCTGACAGACACTTTGGAGATTTACATAAGAAAAGACCTTCCTTTCCAGTCCACAGCTCTATAAAAGACCTGATGAGGAACGAGTGGAAGATTCCTAGTAAGAGGATTACTAGTCAGGGTCGGCTTTCGAAGTTATATCCGATTAAAGAGGAGGATTCCAGATTGTGGACTACGGTCCCCAAAGTTGATGCTCCTATCATTAAGGTTGCTAAAAGATCCACGCTACCAATTGATAGCAATGCTTCCCTTAAGGAGCCCATGGATAAAAGGATTGATGCTGATTTATCTAAAGCTTTCATGACAGCGGGTTTAGGTTGCCATCCAGCTGTGTCCATTTCGGCTTTGTCTAGAGCCATGCGTTCCTGGTTGCTTGACTTGGAGGATGACATAGATAAAGGGGTCAGTAGACGTCAGATGGCGGAATCCTTAAGGGATATCAAACTCGCCAGTGACTGGCTTTTGGAATCCTCCACTGACCTCATTAGAATTCTTTCTAAGGTTATGGCACATTCAGTCACCGCTAGAAGGGCGCTTTGGCTGAGATCCTGGGGAGCAGACCTGTAATCCAAGAATAATTTATGCTCACTTCCCTTTATGGGAGAAGTGCTTTTTGGGAAACCTCTAGATGAAGCGATTAAAAAGGCGGCTGAGGTTAAACAGGTCATGCTGCCACAAGATAGGCGTCCAAAGAGACCTCGTCTGGACCATAGACCTTTTAGGGATCAAGGCTACTTTAGGGAAAGTAAGACTTACAGGCCAGGTAGAGAATTCTCAAGGAATTCCAATTGGAAGAGCGGCCTGAATGGGAAATCCTCTAGGGGCAAGACGCAGACCTCTTCCTTTCGCCCCAACAAGCAATTCTGAAGGTGGCTTACTCCAGGTTCCTCGAGTGGGAGCACGTCTTTCATTCTTTCAGAGGGCCTGGGAAATAATTCCAGATGCTTGGGTAAGATCCATTATCACCGGAGGTTATCATCTGGAATTCGACGAATATCCACCTCCACCAAGGTTTATTCGCACAAGGCTTCCAGCCAACATCCAAAAAAGAGTGGTTTTGACTCTTTATGTCAACAATCTTCTTACGGAAGAAGCCATCATACCTGTACCCATAAAAGAAAGATTCCAGGGATATTATTCCCCCCTGTTCTTGGTCAAGAAGCCAGAGGGAAAATGGAGGCCTATTTTAGATCTCCACCAGCTCAACCTTTATCTGAGAGTCAGAAAATTTCGGATGGAATCCATTCGCTCCATCATTCCGGTTGTTCATCACCAAGATTGGATGATATCAGTAGACCTCAGGGATGCATATTTTCATGTCCCTATCACGTTCACCCATCAAAGGTTTCTCAGGTTTTGTGTCCGGAAGGAACACTTTCAATTTCAGGCCCTTCCTTTTGGTATAAGTACGGCCCCGAGGACCTTCTCGAAGGTTCTGGTCACCATCATTGCTTTGCTCAGAAAAGAAGGTGTAGCGGTGTTTCACTACCTGGACGACATCCTGGTAGTGGCTCCGGACCTAGCATCAATATTCCAACACAGGCAATTAGTCCTAGACACCCTATCTCATTTCGGTTGGCTCATCAATTACGAGAAGAGTCACTTGAATCCTTCAAGAGAACTGATATTCCTGGGAGCAAATTTCAATACAGACACAGCGATTGTATCCCTCTCACACGACAGAAAGATCAGACTTCGAGATCGGATAAGGGACTTCAGACTAAAGACTTCAGCCTCGGCAAGAGAGTTTATGAGGCTTCTGGGGACTCTTTCCTCTACGATAGAACTTGTCAGATGGGCTCAGTGGAACCTTCGCCCTCTTCAACAATTTTTCCTAAAAAATTTCAGGACCGACTCGAGGGAGTGGGAGACGCTGATTCGCATTCCTTTGATTCTGAAGCAGAAGCTCCTTTGGTGGATGTCGTGGGAAAATCTCTCCAGGGGGTTCCCCTTGCGGGAAATAGATTGGGTGGTCATTACG